AACCATTTGTATTTTAGTTCTTTATAAACTCATGAATAAATCATCCAGTGAGGAGGCAGTTGTGGTTGATTGCAGAGGACCTACTCTCACAAAATAACACATCTACCTCCAAGAATTCACACTCACTGCTGACGGAGTCTCTATGCAGCAAACATGAAAGACATCTGACTCAGAGTATTACAGCCACGTATCTAAGCATTGCAAGAAAATACTTTGCATTATGCTCAATTTCAGGTTTCATAATTGTATTTTGTGCCTCTACTGTGACATGTTTTCATGTTTTAATGCTCAAAAAGTGCTTTATTTTTCTCATACTGCCTCTTTTCACCCTCCGTCTGAAATCAGAGCCCGGTCTGCTCTGATTAACACTTAAGCAGGCATACAAGTATGACATGCATTCAAGTGTTCTTCAAAAATACAAGGTAACATGGTTTGAGTTCTTGTATTAAAGATATATATATATGATATTCATTTTTCGTAGAGTATTCTTTAAAGGTCACCTATTATGCAAAATCCACTTTTTCTTGTCTTTTATACATAAACAAGTTTCCTAGAGCTTCTGAAAGTTTCAGGAAAAAAGATTCTCTCTCTTTTTTTCCTGATCCATTTACAGTATATAAAAACCTGTCTGAAAGTTAGCTGATCAAATTTTGGCCACTTTATGATGTCATAACGATTTTTTTGGCTTGTGTAACCATTAGCCAATCACCAACCAAGGTAACCCCCCCCCCCACACCTTATCACCTGCATCTCCTCCTAGAGCACCATTGTGTTCTTTTTAACCAAATATCTCTCAGAGGGGCGTGGGGAGGGGCTCCTTATTTTCATCTAAAGTAACAGATAGAGAATCAGCACTTTTGAAACAGGGCTGAAACAGAGGGGATTATGGGATGCTGCAATGGGTGATCTGTTTGGTATTTCGTGGCCAAACACTTCAGAGACATGTTTTGTATATATCTGAGACCTATGATAAAGTAATGAAAAACAGTATAATAGGGGACCTTTAAATACATTACCTCCAAAGGCAGATCAGTCATTCTGTTCACATTTGCCTACATGTTACCTAAATGCTTTGTCTCTGAGTACACATGTATTTTTTTTCTTCCTTTCAAACCTTCCCATGTTCATTTCAAGCTGATGGACCATTCTTTACTAAGTTCACAAAGCCATGACACATTGCTGCAGTATCAGATCAGGTATCTTCCTCTATAAGGATAATATTTCATGTACAGGACAATCGTTTTCTAGTCAACTTCAGCGGTAAGCCGCCGCCGCCGCTGGTCTCTGTCCATCCATCATCTCCTGACCTTCAGCTCTGCGCCCTGATGCTGCCCGGGGCACAGGGGGAGTGACTAATGTCGTCTCAGCCACCACCTCCCCTGATATCCGTCCAGTATTATCCGACCCCGGCGTCTACAGATTTCTATCTCTGCTCCCAGCTTTAATTATTCACGCTGCTGAATCACACTCACCAGAGATAGCCAGACTGGCCAAACTGCCTGCCCTCTCCCTCTCTCTGATCCTATCTATCTGGCTGTATGACACTATCTCATCTTTCTCTTTTATACTGTAGATTAGATGTGACAACTGCTGAGCTCGCTGTGACCAAGTGTACAGTCTAAGCCAACAAAAGACAGACTGTGATAAACGGTACAAGTTCAGTTCTCAGAAGTTGAAAGTACAGTCAGCGAAATGCACAACAACCTGAAATGATGTTAAGGTTTTGTCTTTATATTGGGTATATATATATATTATGTATATGTGCTGATATTCTCATATTTGAGCAATTATCACATTTTTAAACGTACATACAGTTCAATACCACATACAATGCAATGCAATTTTTGGGGAAACTATCTTGCCCAAGGACATTACATGTTAACTGCAGGTGCTGGGGACTGATCCTCCAGTTGGTAGATACTCCTGAGCCACAACCCCCTTGCTACCTATCAACCCTAATAGCAATAGTGTTGAATTTGCACTTCACCAAGAATAGGCTTTTAAACCAAAAAATTGTCAACTAAAGCACAAACAATTGATTTCTTCTCCAAAAAGCTTGAAGTAGACGTTACTGTGTTTTTTTCTTTCAGCCTTGAGTATTGTCTGGAAACAGTCGTCTCTGTAGGCCCTATTGTCTTTTTGTTTATTTTTTAAGGAGACACTTCCATCAGGCCTAACTGTACTTTTTGTTTGGATGTACTTTATAAATGGATACCAGACAGAAAGATGGTGCCTATTCAGTTCAATGAGAATTGCTTGCATGGTACATAACATACCCCAAAAAAGTTTCCTAGCTTCAGGGTTTATTTCTTGGTTATGCCTCCCTCTAAATATGTACACTAGAGTTTCCAGCCCAAGAGTTCCTTCCTCGCCAATAGACTTCACAATATGATGCAACACATATTTATTTATCCAATCATACATGGTGCAAACTAGTCTTTGTTAGCATGAAAAGTAATGTTGTGCCAAAGTGTAGTTAACAATGTACAAAATCTTGCAAAGTGCATGAAAGGTGTTCATTTTTATAGAAAATATCGGCCAGCATTTACCGTCACTTTGTGGTGGTTCTGTGCTTTGGACAGCCTTCATGAAAAGACTACTGCAGCTGTGCACGTATGTTAACCTTGTATCTGATGTGGTTTATCAAGAATACACGTATCCTTCCTGGGGAGCGAGGAGTTCAACATCACCACTTTTACTTAAGTGAGATGCCCTGTGAACGCCTGAAGGACTTGGGTTGTATTAACCTATAAAAAAAATCTGAAATGTTGGTCACACACACCCTCACATGCACACACACCTCACCCATATTATTCAACCTCTGTGTTCCTCGCCCCCCAGGCTGGGAATCTGGATCTTATTTCTTTGTGACAGGTCCAGGACAGAGGAGGGGAGGTCGGCTCATTTTTTGGCTGCTGGGAGGAGGACGAGGGGGGGTCGAGGACACAGGATGAGCTGCTAGATTGACAGGCCGATGGGGCTGTCGCTGGGGGCCGAGGTGTAGAGACGTTTGGGGAGTTGGCGTTTGCGGCTCAAAAGATAAGCATCAGTGAGAATATGAGAGGCTAGATGGTAATCTTTCACAGGAAGTCAGGCTATACCATTGCAGAAGAAACCACAGGAGAGAGGCTGACCTTGTGCGCCGGTGCTCTGCTGCATAGCCAGGCCTTCGAGCCGCTGCAGACAGGAAGATACTCTGTGGTACAGCGCTGTTTTAAAACAAAAGTCAGCTCTAGAGTTGAACAAAAGTTACCAAACTCTTTGTATGATCACTGCACAATTTCAATCTTTAGTTTGGGGAAGAGTTGCACATCTTTTATCACCGACATTTCCAGTGTTGAAGACTATGTACTGTACATTTGAGGACGATAGACAGATGACAGCAGACAGGCAGACTGGAAACAATGTGATAGAGTGAGTGTGCGGTATGACGAGCGACAAAGGTCTCACGGCCGGAATCAAACCCCCGGACATTGTGGTTTTAAGCGATGTAACCGTTGCATTACCATATTGCTCTGTAGTTTATGTTAATAAAAACTTAAAACTGCTGTAATGTAATGAGCTGGAAAATGATTGTTCAAAAGAGTTTGGTTTCTATTTCTTTAGGTCTGTTGTTCTGTCTCTGTAAGTATTTATGATTCTGTTTCTGATTTGTCACTTCAAGCAAAGTATTTTGACCCATTGTCAAACTAACTAACTCTGAAAGGGTTCCCAAATATCTATCTATTTTTGGTAATTTAAATAATGTAATTTATACAATACTGACCAAAATATATAAGAGAAATATGGCAAAATAGAACAAAATATGTCTGATACAGTTTACCGTCCAACTTCCTGGTGCAACATTGACCTTGCTGTAGTTTCCATAAAGTGGTACAACATGTAAGAAATGGTCTTATTGCTAACCCTAACCCCTAACCCCTAACCCCTAACCCTACCCCTATTTTTCTAATTTCAAACCACAATGTTTTCAGGAAAGTTACCAAAAATATATTTTTTTTAGAGCGTAAACTTCAAAAACGAGAACTTTCCAAAAAATATATATTATTAGAAAAAATAAACTAACTCTTCAAGGTCACAGTTTTTTTAAAGGTGGGAGAATGTGGCTTTGAAGCAGATTATCCGTCGTATAATTTTCCAGGAATTAATTTGTCCTTTTTATCTCTAAATACTATAGTATTGTTGTTCACTGGTCAATAAATACCCAGCTGAATAGGGGCTGATAACATTTGGTAAGCATGATTCAGCAAATGTTTCTGCCTCATTTCAGTTGTTATAAAACTATTAATAGCTTGAGTTAATTGCAACTTAATGTCTTAATTGTGTTCCATTTGTTAGGCAGACTGCTGGTATAAATCCATGTTGTAACTGGACAATAATTCATCTGAATGCTTGAAGAAATTATTACACCAAAATGAAATATCAATAGGTTAAGCTTGAATACAATATTGTCACAAATGATAATGTGGGTTCCCCTTCTTGTTTGATATAGAAATTAAGCCAGGTGATTTTATGAGAAGAGTAAATGTCACCCTGCTTCCTTCTGCACTCGGCATAGGAGATGTTGAAATGTCACCGTGTTCATGTTCAAATTAAGAAGAATACTGCTAGAAATAGCAGATTCATTTGACACGGATTTATTGAACAAAGGTCTGAACCTAGTTTTCAGGTATAGTATTCAAAGCTTGCACATTTAAACTCTCAAAATTGTCAACGCTGCATGAAAGAAGCTTACAAAGGAAACGGCAAGGCTTAGACTCTTGATCAAAACCACAAAGTATTTTTATACATATCAATAGGTTCATACAGCAAAGCTACAAATATCAGAAAACCTTTTTTAAATCAGACCATAAATGCACAATGAAAATAAGCCCCCCGCTGACAAAGCTTTTAATGTCTAAACAGCAGTGAAGACCTCAGGTTATAGGCCAGTTATTCACCACACAGGAAGTCCTTTGGGTTCCTGCAGTGGGCTGCCTAACTCTGACACTCGACTTGAAGCAGCCCAGGTGTTCTTGTTTGTCTGTTTGAGGGGAAATAAAACAGCAGACTATCTATATCTGTAACCAAATACTCTTCACCAAAGAGGGAGATATCTCTGGATACCCACTGAGGCAGGTGTGCTTGTTTTAAAAGTATTCTGAAAAGGTAAGTTACTGCTGTTTTTGTGAGTGTGTAGAAAAGCCGAACAATCTTGGTCTGTTTAAAAGAAAAGATGAAGGAAGTATGGAAGACACTGTTTGAAATGCAGATCATTTTGCGAGAGTTAAGAATACTGCTTTGGTTTAACATTATTTTTAGATGAAATGTAATACATGAGCTTCCGTCATCTCATTGACTCCGGCTAATAGGTAATATTTTCAGTTTGGTTGGTTTCATTTGTCTGTTTGTCAGCATGATTATGCAAAGTGCAATAATATGGCTTATATAAAAATAAGTTGAAAGTAATTGCACGTTACAATGATTATACATTTAAACTACCTTGTGTTCACAATACAACCTTTACAAATATTAATGTAGTAATTACATATAAAGAAATTGAAACATTGTGTACTTTACGCCAAAGAACAACCAAGAAAAACACGTATTGTCATTCATTTGCCAAAACTATTAGATCTGAAGTAAATGCACACATATAAAACAAAGACCCTGTATTGGCTTTAAAATAACTGTTTTAATATTGTACTTCCACAAACCTCACTAACACAGGAATCATTTTAAGGCAGATGCTATTTACTACCCGTGTGAAAATAGTCAACAATGCTATTTGCACCCAGGTGACTACAGTGAACAATACGATTTGCACCCAGGTGACTATAGTGAACAATGCTATTTACACCCGGGGGAAAATAGTCAACATTGCTATTTGCACCCGGGTTACTATAGTGAACAATACGATTTACACCCGGGTAACTATAGTCAACAATGCTATTTGCACCCGGGGTGTATACTGTATAGCCACATTGGCGATATAGTTTCTTTCCTCAGACGGAGCTCCTTCTCGCTCTCTGCAGTTTATACTTTGTGCAAAGCCAGGTCACAAATCCATCAGTAGCCTGCTGGTTTGAGTTGCTATCCTCTGCACCCAATTTCTATGGAGCAGGAGTTTACTCTCCAGACTCACTGCTCAACCTCAGATGCTTGCTCCAAGTACCTAATCTCCTTCTTTCATACATCTCATCCAACACCACTTCCCATGGCTCAGTGAGCTCTAAAAAGCAGACAGACAGCCCGCGGAGTGTTGGACCACACCGCCAAATCCAATACTGAGTTAGACTCTGCCTTTCAGGACTGTGAGACTGTAATGTCTCCTGGCATTATCACAATCCCTGGGCCTCGCTTAAATGTCCCAACTTCTATTTTTGGTACATTTCCTTCCTGCTTCCTGTTTTGTTTCCCTTAAAGCCTTCAAATATAAAACCATGTCAATCAAAGAGTGATTGATTGGACCTGACCTTGTGTTTCTCTACTGCAGAAAAACATGATTTAAAATAGATAACATGTCTTTAAAAGCTTGCAAATGGAAAATATGTGACAAAGATCCAAATATCAGTTTCATCCCTCTTTGCGCCATATGTATTCAGATAAACATTGGTGAAATCATCACTGATACCCTTAACGTTAAAATAATCTTAGATGAATACTGGGTCATTTACAATAATCCCAAGATGTTAAATCCGCCTAAATCGTCCATTAGTGCAAAATGTAATTATTCAAAGGTCGAATTTTTCTTTTCTATTCTTCTTATTATTTTATTTATATTTTTTTAAATGGATCATCCACATTTTTTAAAGTAAAACCTTTGTTTTTCTTCCTTAATAAAGGTAAATATGGATTTGGTTTTGTTTTAGATAGATAGATAGATAGATAGATAGATAGATAGATAGATAGATAGATAGATAGATAGATAGATAGATAGATAGATAGATAGATAGATAGATAGATAGATAGATAGATAGATAGATAGATAGATAGATAGATAGATAGATAGATAGATAGATAGATAGATAGATAGATAGATAGATAGATAGATAGATAGATAGATAGATAGATAGATAGATAGATAGATAGATAGATAGGTAGATAGGTAGATAGATAGGTATATAGATATATAGATAGATAGATAGGTATATAGATAGATAGATAGATAGATAGATAGATAGATAGATAGATAGATAGATAGATAGATAGGTAGATAGATAGATAGATAGGTAGATAGGTAGATAGGTATATAGATATATAGATAGATAGATAGATAGATAGGTATATAGATAGATAGATAGATAGATAGATAGATAGGTAGATAGATAGATAGATAGGTAGATAGGTAGATAGGTATATAGATAGATAGATAGATAGATAGATAGATAGATAGATAGATAGATAGATAGATAGATAGATAGGTAGATAGATAGATAGATAGGTAGATAGGTAGATAGGTATATAGATATATAGATAGATAGATAGATAGATAGGTATATAGATAGATAGATAGATAGATAGATAGGTAGATAGATAGATAGATAGGTAGATAGGTAGATAGGTATATAGATATATAGATAGATAGATAGATAGATAGGTATATAGATAGATAGATAGATAGATAGATAGATAGATAGATAGATAGATAGATAGTTAGTTAGATAGATAGATAGATAGATAGATAGATAGATAGATAGATAGATAGATAGATAGATAGATAGTACTTTATTGATCCCAAATTGGGAAATTGTTGTTGTTACAGCAGCATAAAAGGCATTTTACAATAAAACTAAACTAAACAAAAATATACAAGAATAGAAATAAAAATAAAATATAAAATATAAAATATACATGTCGAAATAGAAAATATACATGCAGATATTATATATACAATATATATATATATTCAAAATATATGGAATATGGAGTATAAATATTGAACAGATTATAGAGTAAAATGTACAACGTGGTTTTATTCCAAGAGAAACTATGGAGCAGAGAGTTCTCTTCCAGCCAGAGGGGATTTATTGTACAGTATTATTGCAGTGGGCAGGAATGTTACATGTTTATTTGTATGTTACCAAGCAGAAACTGTTCTTGTGTTACAAAATAACAACATATCAATGTTTCAAAATGAATTAAGTTTAATATTCTTTCCAGTGAATGTTTAAACTGTAACTCAGATCAAGAAACTAAGGAGGGGGGGGGACAGGGAGAACAGTGAGGGGCCACTAGCAGCTTTGTTTAGTTTGAATAAAGACCTTGTTCTTTTGCATGTGAAACTATTGAGGAAGAAAAGTGTGAGGACAAATTGTGTTGGAAGGCCACATCCTTTAGCAGAACAGCAAACTAATGATGTTTTTCATTACTGTTTCAGCCCCTCGTTAGCTGCAGAGAGAGAGGCACCAGCCATGAGTCTGCTGTGATAATGGTGAGTTATGGCGCCCGACCCACAGCGTTTCCCCGATGGTTATACATGAACGTTCCCAGGGGGCTTCGGGAGCCTGCAGCCCCCCTGTGTAATTACCTTTTAGCACAAAAGGAGGAAAGAGTGAAATTCTGCTATGCCATTGTTAGTGCACAGAGCAACACAGAGCAAACCATTACTATGATTCATAACTGTTCTTTTTGGTTGCATTAATATGAATTGTAAAGTTAAAATACTTTTCCCTCTTTTTAATCTCACTGATTAATAAAATAAGTATCTCGTTTTCTCAAGAAAGCTCATAAGTGTAATATTACAATTTCATTTGAGAGAGTCATTTGAACACATCCAAAAAATAAGAAACTAAATTGACATCTTTCAAGTCGATTATTAGGGTTAGGTTTATTATTATTATTATTATTATTATTATTATTATTATTATTATTATTATTATTATTATTATTATTATTATTATTATTATTGAGGTTTTGTATATGCATATTTTCTGTAAACTGGGAAATACCAATAGCTTTTAAATTGTAAACTTAAAAACAACCTGAACCTGTGCTTGATTTAAAAGATACATCTCCACCATTTGTGCACATACAAGAGCGTGGTTATCGAATGACTCCTTGTCTTCAAAATTAACTATAAATACAAAAGTAAACTCTCTGGGTTCATCATTAAAAAGGAAAAAGGGAACCTGGGCTTCCAAAGAGAGACATGTCTTGCCTTTGGCGACACATTAGTGGTGACAATGCACCTGCCGGACAAAAACATCAATTTCCTCTCAGCAGAATCCAATCTGAACTCTCCTCTTCATTACAAAAGAGCCACTTCTGATGTGAAGCACATTGCTTTTAGTGAAAATTGAATGAGAGAAGCCGGAGGATGATGCGCCGACTGATAATATATTCATCCTAATCTCAAATGTTTCTTAGCACAAACATATCATCACAATGCATCATATGTCATTAATTAGAAGAAAAAGAAAATGCTTGTTATGTAGCCTTTCAACAATGTGTCACAAACTGTCGCTTTTTCTGCCACTGGCTGTAATTTTCTGTGTGAGTGGAAAGTGTGAAGACTTAAAAAGGAAATCGCTTGGAGACAAGCAGTGGGTTGTGTTGCAACACCTCATTGTAGCTTCCTGTGCTTATCAGTGTTGTAGGCGAGTTCAGGATCTAACTGTCCACTTTAGATTATGTTACTGGTTGATGTAATTAGGAAGACTCACATTTATTGATTTCATTATTTGCAGAATAAGACCTTCCTTGTCCTAAATCTTAGCAATGCATTCATATATTTGTTGTTAAAGGATTAAGATAACGTTTTTGTATGCACTCTTAGTATCTGACATTTAAAACTGCAATTCTCTCTGCACAGGATCGCAACAGGAAAGGCAAAAACAGAAATCAAAGATCAAAGATCAAAGATGATTACTCGAACAGCGTCCTGGAGCATGAGTACCACATGGCGGATGACCATGAGGAAGTGCTGAATGTGCGCATACTTCCTGCAAGACCCATAGATGCTGAGAGAGAGTATGCAGGTAGAGAAAAAAACAATGACTCTGCGTTCACTTTCACACAGCTATTTTTTACAGTACAGGTTAAAGTTACGTAGATTTAGCATGGGTTAAGCTTCGTTTACTCCTCACAAATGTCTAGCGTTAGTTTTGTTTCTGTTTTGTTACCTTGTCTTGGTGAAGCTTACTGAAAAACTGTAAAACTAAGAACTGCCGTCTTGGTTGCACTGTAGGCTGAGCATTTATATTCATCTGTAGGAGGGAATCTGACCTTTAAAAGGAATATTTCAACCTCAAAATTATCATTTGTACATACATTACACACCCTGTGTTGCCTTGAATTCAAGAAAAAAAAGAAAGGTATTGATGAAATTAAGCACCTCTACTTCCTAAAGACATGCATTTGTGCTCAAAATCTGTACACATTTTTTATAGTTTTGCTGTTGTTTAACGCAGCCCTAATTTACCTACACTCATCTGGACTTTCCTTCATTTTTTACATCTTTGTTCACCATGGAGGCTTGCTAGAAAAACAAACTTTTATTAAGAATTCAAGGTTAAGTAACTGATACACAAATGGACATTTTGTGGGTGAAGTATTCCTATTATATTTGTCACTACCCATCTTAATCATTCACTATTCAAACATTATTCATTAAATGTATAAAACACAACACATACATGAAAAGGTTCATAAACCTACATCCAAAAACCTCAGAATAAACCTGGTACACAACTTCAACTTACAGAGAGCTTGTGTTACAGTGAGCACAATGAAAGTGAGTTAGTTTTACTTTCCCCTCAGAAAAGCTCTGGTGAACATAATTAAATCGAAGCTCAGTGAAGTTCAGGCACCAAAATAAAACAGCTCCACCACAAACTGTTGTGTGTGAGAGAGGGAGGGAGAGAGATGGAGCTCATGCTGAGTGATCATGATCTGCCAGTGGGTCTCCAGAGCCATCTGTTGGCTGAGGCAGACTGCGGGAGGTTACAATTATCTAGGAGCCGAAGGGAGAGAGAGAGAAGCGTGTAGTGTGAAGAGACTCCCTTTACTCTCCTGCATGGTTGTGGCCCACAGCCAGGAGCTTCACAGCTGCACGTCTACAACTTTATACTGAATGTGGCTTTTAAATTTGTTCACACTTGGGGTGTTCTCCCTCTGTAATCAATACAGTCTGCTGCTGCTGCAGTGTGCTGCTGGGACCGGCAAGTTACAACAATGATACAAACGCATGTTGTTGTTGTTGTTTAAACTGCCAACTAACACTGGAAGGGCTGAAATTATCGTTACTGTCACTGAATAAAAGAAAAGCATCACAACTTATTTTGCTTTCAAGACAGGGCTCTTCCAAGGTCAACATCGGCCCAGAGTCTCTCATCCCTCTCAAGTGTAAGCTTTCTGTTTTTATTTTTTAATTAAGTCTCCATTAAGGTTTTAATGCTGTAAATGTATGCTTATATTTTATGTTCTCTCCACTCCATCAGGCTAACTCTAACAGCCTCCCAAGAGACTTCTCACTAACTTCAGGTAGCGTGACAAAACTCTACAGCTTGTGAATTTTGATTTTAGTGGGGAAGTTGGCCCTGGTAGTAGCTAATGGCGGCTAACATAAGCTGCCTTTAGCAACTTTATGACATTTCACTACTTGGCCAGATGCTGCTGCTACTCAGCGACTGTATACATGGTCACTAAACATGCGTTATTCAAGTTTAACATTGCATTTGTAGATACTATACATTGGCCTATTTTTTTTAAACAACACATTAAAATGACAAAGCATTGATGGTGGTCTAACTGCTAACCGATTAAGCACACACTAGCTAGCATGTTATAATTCTCTGTGCGGCACTTATTCATAACGCCATGGTTGTTAGCCACATCTACACATTATTATCTAATAGCCAGGTATTGTACGCATGATGAAAAGGGTATGTTAATACCATAAAGTGTAAAGAAAAAAAGGGTTTATACATGGTCCTTTGACCACCCTACTGGCTACATTTCAAGATTTTCAAGATATTTTTATTTTTTGAAAATCTTGACATGAAGCCTATAGGGTGGTCTAAAGGCCCAGAGGCCCAGTTTACTTATGTCGGAAGCCCCCCTGCCATAAATAACTACTTTTCTGTGCTTCTAAAACTAAGGGCCTGCTGTAAATAGAGCCCTGAAGCCAGGCAGAAGAAAAAAAGATAAGAAGTTACCACCTGTGCAGCCAGAAGACCAGGTAAACACCTGCATATATATATAATTAACCCTGTTTTCTTTTCAAATGTGTCATATAAATCATGTTGGTTTGCAAGGGATATAATACTGATGAATGTTCCCCTTTTTCTAATATCACAGCACTCACACAGGTAATATACTCCACTACTATAGAAGGTGTTAATTTTGGGGTTAATGAATGGACTTACAGCTGATGTTGGTGCTCTTCCAGGCGCTCTCCTTCGCCTCCAGCGGTGATCACAGAGTTAGTGAGTCACCTGCCGGGGCTGACTGTACACGATTCCAGCCGCAGAGAGTGAGTATACAGTAGTGGGTTTTTTGTTGCAGGAAGCACACAGATAAACCCCCAGCTGTTGCTGTTTTATATCGCTGCTTTTGACTTTGACCCCACGCAACCTTTTTTCTCTGTGAGGACGGAGGGAAGTGAGAGAAGGTCCTCTTAGTTTTACAGTTCCTACAGTGTGGCAGTGACACCCTCTGCTGGTTAGAAGACACAAGTGCCAACAGTAACTACCACATTGAAGATCTGAATGTTGACTATTGGCTTTATTCATAAAGAACTGTAAATTCTGTAAAAATTACCAACTGAAATCAAATTAATTTCAGATAAATTCCTTTCCCTTATTTTCTTGCTTAAAGAAAACCTTCTTTTTTTCTGAGAAGCTTAAAGGTAGGGTAGGTAATTCACCTCACTTTTTGTTATATTCCATGGAATGCTCTTAACATCCCGATAGCAATGAATAAATTAAATGCTTTGACAATAAATACATACAAATATCTCATCTGTGGAAGCCGTGGCGCTGTAAAAAGCAAGTCCAAGTCCAGTATCTGCCTAGGCCCGTGGCAGATAATTGGATGGCCTACCTGCCTGTCAGCCTTCCATCTCGTGCACAAACTTATCTCGTGCCCTCATTCGTTCGTGTTCATGTACCTATACCCATACCTTTAATGTGATAACATTTTATAAATAATGTCCCTTTTTCTTTTCAGTCGACAAAGGGCAACTAAAAAGGTAAGTACTTGTGAAGCAGGATTATGTTTGCCAAGAACTAATGTGTCAGATTTATTTGTTATTGTATTTTTGATTGGTTCTCTTCAGTGTGTGCCTTTTATGTATCTATTTTATTACTATTTAATGTTATACCCTATGTCTTGTCGTACAGTTTACTACAGTGAAGCCAAGTAATAAATAAAACAGAGCATGTAGTTATTGTCGTGTTCTTTTATTCCAGGAAAGACAAACAACTTCTAAGTTCTACTATTTATTAAAAGAGAGCAAAAGATATATTCACTTGGCCAAGGAGTCCGTCAGGTCATATAAATCACAGGCAGCAGAGCTGTAATCTGTAACTCTATTTCCGGAAAAAAGCCTTGAAACTTGTGCGCACATACATTTTATTATTGCAATTCTAATGCAAGCTAAAACTTTCTTCTATGACCTTCGTTTCGTATCCAACCCATCAGAACCTGGGATTGGTGATTGTGTCTATTTATTCCATAGTCATAGCAACATCTCATGAGCACAATAAGCATATAATGTGACAATAAGAATCAACCTTGTAATGTTATATAAAAATAGACTCCACATTATCTACTTGCATATTTGTTTAAAATCAATAGCCCTTTCAGCCATTTTTTTTATTTACTATCCTGCAATATTGTTTTTAAACCTAATTTTCTTTGTATTTCTTCTACCAGGCAGAATTCAGTGCACATGGCAAAGGTAAGAGCTTAATGATTGTGAATGTAAACATTTTAGTGAAATGCAACTTTAATATTAATGATGTTGAATATATTTAGGTCTACAGAGTGCTGAACATGTTTCAACACTTCATACCAATCACAGACATTCTCTGGATTTGGAAACTCATGATTTAGAAACAAGGTGGGGCATTCATTTCTAAAGCTTTTTAGGACACATTTGTCATTTGTCTCAAGTTTGATTTATGCCTTCTTCTTTTTTTTAGGTCCCAACTAAGTATAGGTAAGTAGTGTTATAGATCATCAGTATAATGTTAAATGTAATTATAAAATAAGTCAATATTATTGTTTACTAAAGAAAGGGTGCCATCAAAACGTCTTCACCATGAGTGGCCTCAAACTAAAGAAGACTTTAACCAACATGACTTTGTTCCCATGGAAAAGCCTCAACAGGTACAGTTGCTGCTACTAAATAAAGAAGTGAATACACTATACCAGAGGTGTCAAACTCAATCTCATCACGGGCCACATTAGCATTATGGTTGCACTCTAAGGGCCGGTTGTAACTTTTAGACTATATAAATATACATATAAATATACATATACATAAATATTAAATAATGTATTAAATTATATTGTTGGCTCTGCATTGGATTACTATCAGTTCTGGTAATAACTTCATAAAAAACTACGTCTGAAAGCTGAAGTCTAGGGCAAACAATTGAAAGAAAATATTCAACAATTACACCAATTGTATTGTATATTATATTCTTTGCAAGCTCTTGCGGGCCACATAAAATGAGGTCGCAGGCCGGATTTGGCCCACGGGCCTTGAGTTTGACACCCCTGCACTATACTGTATAAGTATTCTTTCTCTAAAGTCTGTGATATCTAGTTGAGGAAAGGACATTTACCTTAGTACCATTTTTATGTACTTATACTTAAGTGTTTTACCTCCCTGTACATTTTTGACGGATGTATATACTTTAAATGTGCATTATTAGAGTATTAATACAACATATAAATATATTATGATAAGCTACAAAATAAAGTTCTGTCATCTTTACAACATTAGATTTACACTTTTACTTATTGTACCTTAAAGGTGGGGTAGGTAATTTTGGAGAAACCAGCTCGAGTGTGCTAGAATTTGAAAATACACAGCCGGAAAAAATCTACCACTTCCTCACAGAGCCCCTCCTCAAACACACACGAACGTGCACATGACCAATGAGGGCACGAGATAAGTTTGTGCACAGATGGAAGGCTGACAGGCAGGTAGGCCATCCAGTTATTTTAGCCGGGCCGGCTAAAATGATTGGTCGTGCTTTTTACAGTACTACAGCTTCCACAGATGACATTTTTTTATGGATTTTTTGTCAAAGCACTTAAGATATTCATTGCTATCGGGATGTTAAGAGCATTCCATGGAATATAACAAAAAGTGTATCTCGAGCCGGTTTCTCAAACTTACCTACCCCACCTTTAAGTATACTTCAATGCATTTTATTTTGTACTTTCACCGAATTGTTTTCAATGCTGGACTTTTTTGCGATTTCTTTTACATATTAACAAAATACTTATAATAATACAAATGTGTATATTCATTATTGGTAAATCGTCCATTCTGCATTATGAGTATTTTAACTTTAACTAATCTTAAGGGAATGGATAAGACCTTTACAGTTATTTCCCCCATAGAAATTAAATAATAGAATATTACTTTTCTATGATTTTGACCATGTATTGTTGCTAATTTAAATGATCTAAATATTTCTTCCCCCACTGATAATATTTGGCAGACCTACTGTGAAGAGGACTGGTACGTTGGGACTTGTACTCGAGCAGATGCTGAGCACGCCTTACACCTGGTGAACAAGGTAATTTAAAACCTCTTATATGACATTATCTTATAATTGAATTAGTCTAAATCGAATATTCTCTTGTTACTCACACTAGGACGGGGCATTTTTGGTACGAGACTGCTCCATCAACTCCAACAGTGAGCCCTTGGTGTTGGCTATGTATCACGGCAAGAAGGTTTATAATGTAAAGATCCGGTTTATAGAGAGCACCAGCAAGTACGCGCTGGGAAGAGGACATCGATCAAATGATGTGAGTGGAAAAACACTAAAAGACAAAGTTAAACAAGCCTTATCTTCATCATATTTAATCAACCTAACATCTTATTTCTCCTCAGATGTTTGACTCTGTGGCAGAAATCATAAAGTTTCATTCCATATTCCCAGTAATACTCATCAGTGGGAGAAATATGCCCGCAAGCAAATGTCCAGAAAACTGTGTGCTGACGTGTCCAGTAACCAGGAGTGATGTTGAGCAGCTGCTGCAATAACACATGGAGCTTTCCTGCCAAAATAAACCGTTCAATCACATCTGGTTGTAACCCATAACATCCACTGCAGTTCATCGTGAGCATGTTAGGAAAACGTTGACAGTGTATACGAATTGTGAAAGATGTGTCAATTAAAAACAATGTTTTATCTAAATCTGAAACTGATCAATAGTTTTCATGATCAAATCGTTGTTGTTTTTTATTGTGTTCATTTACCAGTCAAAAAACACAAATATAAAATGTATACTTTACAATGATACCAAACAGAGAGAAGTACAAATCTAATATATGAAGCTGAAAAGCTTATATTTGACGTTTTTGCTTCAACATTTCTGAACAATTGATTGATTGAAGATCTCTCAGGTCTTCTGGAACGGGTCTGCTCTCGGTTCCGAGAGTAAGAACAGAACATGGAAAAGCAGCGTTTAGCTATTATGCCCCCACAATCTGGAACAAACTGCCTGAATCATGCACGTCCGCAGAAACTCGTACTATTTTCAAATCGAGACTGAAAACATATCTTTTTGCCGCTGCTTTTAATTGAACTGCTCATATTCACACTGCAGTTTGCTTTTTATTCATGTATTGTATAACTGTTGTGTTTATCTTATTATCTTTGACTTTTAAATGCCTGTTGTAAAATGCCATTATATAATGTGTTTCTGCTGTATTTATTCTTAAATGTCTTTTATTTTATTTTGTAAAGCACTTTGAATTGTCACGTACTGAAAGGTGCTATATAAATAAACTTGCCTTGCCTTGCCTTGATTACCAAAACAGTTCAAAATGTATAATCTCTAAATATGTCAAATTAGTGAGATTTAAGCTTCCGGATAAAAATTATAACTTGATAAATCAAAAATGTTTTGATAGGGATAAGCTGTGGTGAAAAGTTGATCATTTCATTTATTCAAATACTGTAGTTAAGAACAATGTTGAGGTATTTTACTTGAGTATTTAATGTTTTATAGCACATTTTGTCAGAACATCTTGCATATCGATTCCTAAGTGACTTAACAGATAAAGATTTACAATTTGGATCAATACATTAAGATATCTTATAAGTACATTTCCCAGCAGTATATCAAGTAATTCAAATTAGCTCCACCTTTACAAGCTGCAGCATAAAGTGACAAACATATTAACGCACTAATAATTCAGTGGACTAGTCTAGTCTACATAATGACTACTTCTGATACTTTCAGTAAAGTTAATACTTTTGTAAATATTTACTGCAGGTACTTCTACATGTAAAAGAGAGGCTGAGAGTCTGAGTGCGTTAGAGATCTACTATGTAAAGGTTATATACTGATCATGACCCCTTGATGTAATGCAATTCTGTTGAACAAACGGGGAGGCTATGCAATCTTTTATCATGTTTTAATAGAAAATGGAGTTACATAATCGTTATTTATAAAAGCATGAGACACGATAATGCACATTGAGAATGTAATACATTGAGAAGTGAATAAAGGCAAAGGAAAAACATTCAGAAATAATTGTGACACATTTAAATAATACAATAAACAATACAGCACTGTAGCGTTAGACAAGTAAAGCACAATGTAGACGAGGCTGTGGAATGGTTACCATCTCCTAAAGAGTATGAACACCATTTATCACATTTTATATGTATAGGTATTTACACCATAAAAATATGTTGATCAAAACATATTTACACAATATAAACTGGGCAACACAAACCTATAAATGTAATCGTAGGTCTATCACTTAATACATCATGGTTAGATTTTAAACACAACACGCTGCTGTTGTAATGCTGTTGTAAACCGTCTGTAAAGAGAGAGTTTGTGACCTTTCAATGGTTACTAAAAAAAGACAAGTTTAAACAGGTTCCCAGGATCACCATAGTCACTTAGTATTTACATCATTAAAAACACACGCACGTGGTTTTCTGTTACAGTAGTAAACTGAGGTGCTTTTTATCAGATCCATTATGCAGCACTATGTAAGGAGCTACAGAGGCTTTACATTGAAGTACATTAAAGACAGGAAACTGTATGGCACAAGATTTCATAACACTCAAATAAATCTCAAATATCTGCGATACATTCCACATTGAAATGTCATGAAAATGGCAAATAAGAAAATAGAGTTTATCAATGAGAACGGCCTGCAAAGTGGTAAATACTGGGGCACATTCCAAGAATAATAAGTACAACTGTGACAATTCACTTCACAAAACACATGAAGAAAAGCTGGCAACCCTCTTTTTTTCTGAGACCCCCCGTGGTTCACAACACGTCCAAACTGAGAACAAACCCAGCTTCCATTATTTACACTTTGCATTGTCATTTCATTGGTCCAGTCCATTTGATGAAGGTACCAGTGACTGTTGGTCTGGGAAATAGTCATGCAGGATTTCCCAAATGTAAGAGTTTGCAAAGAGTGCCTGAATGCACCACTACACTACGGACTGATACTGATTGCTGCACATATGACATTGTCTGCGTTCCCATAGTGTCTATTTAACATGTAACAACAAATGCAGAGAAAGAGACACAGCTGACCATTAAAACCTCTGTAGGCTTGCAAGTGCTCACTGTCAAAATATAGTACTGATAATTCATTGTTTTCCTGTGTTGTTTTGTGCCAAAAAGTTTAGTACAAAAAAGGCTGTTGAATTGACCATTTATATTACATTTTTGCACAAATCAAACACGTTATCATATTTTAAATCTGTAAAGATCAATCTATTGCTAACTATTACATTTTTCTGACAAACATTTTAACGGTTCCAAAGAAATTTGTTAAATTAAATTAATTGATTGATTCCAGCTTATTGATGGAAACATTTTCTGGTTTCTCTAATCCTCTATAATACGTAATATCTTTGAGTTTTGGAGAAAAGACATTTGAGGATCATCTTGAGCTTCGGTGAACACTGAGCAACATACTTATTTTCACTATTTAATCAACAGTGAAAATACTTATTAGTTGTAGTCCGATTTGATATTCACCACAGATTTTTCCATCATTAAAATTGTGTGCATATTATGATAATGACTTTGCCTATATTCTGATTGGGTTCCCACACAATTTGATAATCTCAGATGCACCAAATTCAGTTTGTGTCTTAGAGTGGCCAGATGCAAAACATAAGTGATGCAAAAAAAAAATGAATACAGTATTTTCTTTTTAATTTATTAAGCAAACAGCATGCATTATTTGTGCCTGGACTCTGACTCTACTGGTTTATCAAACTTCTGAAATAGTACTTAAACATCTGTGTATTTCTAATGGCAATCTACTACAGAATATGGTCCGTGTTTCATCCATTGCACTTAGTATTTCTCATCCCATGCCTAGATAAACAACATAAATGTTACACACAAGGTTCCATGATAATCAGAAGTCCATTCCTTCTAATCTAATGCTGCCTTAGAGAGAACAAATGTCCATATAGTGTCATTTTTTAAGTATCTTAAAACAAATGTTTTCAGATAAATGTCCAGTGATATTATTCACTGAAAGACTCCAACAGTGCAGCCCATTACCTCATACTTCTGCCCCATCACTTTGCTCAGCCTCATTTTTAAGATGTTGCACTTTGGAGCGCCCTCCGAGGCTCCTGTTTCCAACCTGTCTGTCCTCGCTCCCTGACGGTTGGTCCGGGGCTTGGGGTGATTGAGCACCACCACGGGCTGGTTGGGGCCCGGGCGCTTCACCAGCTGGTCTCCCTTCAGCGGCATCGGATGAATAACTGTACTGTCAGTCAGACTGGACCCAGGTTCCGGAGTCTTATATTTGGATATTCTAGGTTTTAGTCCCTTCTTGTTTTTTTTCCACACGCCTACTTGCACCCTTTTCAGAGAGACAGTCAGAAACTTTGACATGTCATGCTCACTTTGTGCCACTTCCTGTTGAGGCGTTGTAGTGGCATGTGCATTTACCGGTGCGTCAACTTTGGAGTTCTCATCTTTTACGCAAGATTTTGACTCAGGAGTGTGATTGCATTTACTTTTGTCCGTTAGCGTAGTATTATTTTGTTCCTCTTTGACAAGGAAGTTGTTGTGGGTCAGTGAAGGAGGGTGTTGAATGCCTTTTTCCTGCCCCTCCACTTTTATAGTATCGATTTTCCGGTCAGTCAATAAAAGGTGACGGATAATGGATCCATCTATAGTCGACATCCGACTGAAGAGTTTCGATTTTTCTGCCTCCATCACCTGCTCTGTGCTGTTCGTTGTGTTGATGTTATTTAGAATTGTACAAACAGAACTGTTGCTTTTATCCATCACTATACCACGCAGAGCCATTACCAGCGGTTGAAAGGAGCCTTGGCCGTCCTCTGATTGTTGACTTAATGAAAACACAGAAGATATGATGGGAAAACACTCAGACTCTGGCAGGTCTCCTTCTGCCAATCTCTCATTGGATCTCACTTCCTGGACCCAAGATGAGATCTTTGAATTTGTGCGATTACAAAGGGCCGGTGTTTTGCCTGAGGGGGAGTCTATTGGTGTCCTGGGTATTGAAAAGGAAGAATTTGCAACATTATCCTTACAAACTAAAATGGCTGGAGGTCTCACTTGGCCAGCTGAGAGAACATTCAAGGAAGGGGAGGCAGATTTTTGCTGGTTAAAACCAACTGCCCCCTTCTTTGTTTTCAAGTTAGTGTAGTCCTCTTCCCTTATCTCCCCGGGTTCAAGTTTGACATGCCGGGACACATCACTAGGAATTACTTTTACGTCACTTTCCTTCACGGGTGGAACACCTTTGGAAAGATCAATTAAATTCCTTCTATCATCCACCGCTCTCTGAGAAGCATGTGCTCCCATGTTTTCTCGATGCAGGGCGCCAGTCGACCTGTTGACAGCCCTGTTGGAGATAACAGAGTGCAGATTTGCGTGGTTCCCCAGATCTCTCTGAGCAACTCTGATCCCACAGTTTCCTTCTCTTACAGGATTCACAAGAATGTTGGGAACCTTTTTTGGAACAACTTCATGATATTCCAGATTGATTATTTCCGGCAATGTTCTTTTTAATCCAACGTTGCCTTTGCTGACTTGATTCGGGAGGTTTTGGGAAAAATGTACTGGGACAATTGCAGGACGCTCCAAATTCACAGATTTTGTTTCACACTGTTTCCTGTTAATAGTGCACATCCCCATGTTCATAGACTTAACTGTGTTTGTGTGATCTAATGCGGATAAGAATGGCTGTCCTAGTGCTGCGTTTTGCGAAACTGTGGTCCTTGTGTCTTTTATCACAGACTCGTTTCCCTGTTGAGAGACGATCCTCAGCTTGAGCTCCTTTGTCCCGTTGACAGTTTTCACCTCAACAAGTTCCACCATACAGCCATTAGGGATTGTAATTTCCTCAGGAAGAGAAACCGTCAAAGCTCTGCTGTGCTGAAAGAGTCCGTTCAAAGGGGACAAAAATTCTCCACTACCATTAGTAGCATTTGATACATTAGTGTCCAGTGTTTTGCCTCTTTGTTCATCTTTACCCAGCCGTGCTACAGATGAGCTCAGCGCAGGTACTTTCACCCGAACAGTCGGTCGAAGCAATGATGGATCCGCAGTGGAAACACTTGATAAGGCACTGGAGGCAGGAACATGTGGATTTGTAATCATGCCAGTCTTAGCAGGTCCTTGACTCATGACTTTACTATGTACACGCTCAATGTGATTCACAAGGCACAGCCTCCTCATGTAGCCCTGTCCACAGTGAGGGCAGTTGAATGGATACTTTGAATTGTGTTCCTTCAGGTGAGCATTTAACTCTGCCTCACTGAACGAGACTTTGTTGCAGTAAAAACAGTAAAATCTCGTCCCCTTGTGCTCCAGCACATGCTTCTTGAGCTCTGCAGCATCTGTACTAGAAAATCCACATTTCTGACAACACTTCACGTTTGAAGAGTTCAAAACACGATCCAAGAGAGGGTTGGGGTGTCCGCTGTTTGCAGCTGACAGCATGCTGTGATAGGTGACAGGAATCATGTTGAGCAGGTCATCTGGCAGCCATCAATTCTGCAATCAGACAGAGGAGTCAGAGAAGAAGCAATATGGATCTGATAGCATAGGCGGCGGCAGGGGGGTGCTAGGGGGTGCTGAAGCTCTCCCTAGGATAGCCATAGCACCCCCCAAGCACCCCCAAGAAATGCATGTATTTTTTTATTTTTAGGTGTGAAATTCATAATTTGAAAAATGATTGATTCGAAAACAATATGCCACAGTACAGAACAAGTATTTCTGGGTCTCTGTGTTTCATTCAAGCTCGGCTCTGTGTGTGTGTGTGGCAGACGCGCATTTAGTGTGATTAAGCGAGCGAGAGAGAGAGAGAGAGAGAGAGAGAGCACACCATGCCAGGGACCGTGTTGTAAGCATCTGTTTAGCTAGCTGCACTAACGGATAGAAGGAGCTGTTTCTACAACAAGGTGAAGGGAATGTCCTCTCCTGTCAGACTGAGGGACCCAGGTGAGCCAAAGGACTATCTGAGTGTTTAGATTAACTTTAGTCTAAGTTGTCTCAGTGGGTCTCAAACGGTTTGGTCACGATTTATGTAAACAATTATTTCCGAGGCACACCTTCATATGATCATTATAAAAAAAAATAAGAGAATAAATGAAAAACAGTTATGAAATACTATATGACAGTAAAACAAGAATACACTTTAAAAGAGTGATATGTAAAATATCCAAAAAGAAAAAGTACATCTGTTTACAGTTGTTTCATATGGGTGTTGAGAGATGTATCCATAAATCTCTTAATTTTGCTCTCAAAGTGCACCAGATTGATGCATTTAACTTCAATACAAAAAATAAAAACCCGGACCCCCCCTAGAGGATATTAGGTCCACCCCCCACTTATAAAAATAGCACTTTACCCCTGCTTACACCTATATGCCGTGAGCTGATTATCGAGCCTTCATTGTAGACTGTATACTGTGTATGTGCGTGTGGGGAGTGTAGCAGTAGAAAATTCAACTGTAGCGCCCAGTAGATTAAGGGAAAACCCTAAATGTTTGAGCATCCTCTTTGAAACGTCAAGCTACCCCACAGTACCCCCAAAAGAAAATCTCTGGCGCCGCTACTAGTGACATGTCTCCCACCTGTGAGAACAATTATAGTTGATGCACCTACCAATGCAGACATTCACACAAGGCCTATGCAGACCCTCCCCCCTCACACACAGTTCCTGTTTTTACAGCCTGCAGCTATTTGATCTTCAGGTAACGGAAAGCAAGAAAAACACAAAAGCGGTTCACTGAATTAAATGCTGTTGTCTAAATTCCTTATTGTTCCTGTTTGCATTTGAACACTAAAAAGGCCCACAACAAGGTGGGCTAACAAAGACGACGGGCCGAATATGTACTGTTTATTTTATCTACAGAGTCAAATCGTACATACGTACCTTATAGGAGTGTTTGGTTTTCATCTGTTAGATGTTTTTAAATGGATAAATCCTTCCTGTGGGCTTGATATTAACGCCTGAAAACGCGACCAACCAAGTCGCTGTGCTTTAGCTTGGGGTCTCTGTAGCTAAGCTAACTCAAACCCGGAAACGGGTCCATCTCTCCTTCAAAGTAAGAGCATGGAATAAAAATAATAAATGGGCCTGTGTGTGCTTTATTTGGCCTCACCGGCTACCTAAAGGTAAAACTCAGGCAGTCATAGCATTTACCTCCTTGATTGCCAGGCGCCTAATTCTCCTGTCCTGGAAGGATCAAGCACCTCCCAATTTTTACTAGATGGATAAGAGACACTATGCATTTCCTTAAACTTGAGAAAATCCGGTACACTCTAAAAGGCTCTGTGCAGAAGTTTACAAAGATTTGGACCCCCTTCCTAAATTATTACGATAGTTTACAGATCCCCATAAACCAGGATGACTAGAGCAATAGTTTGTGGCAGCAGCAGCAGCAGGACCCCAAGATCTGATATTAAGGGGACGGGTGGGGAGGGTTGGGTGGGATGCAATGCTATTGAATGTATATTTCTTCTGATTTTGAAATCTCAATAAAAACTGTTAAACAAAAAATAATAATACATGGGCAGTAATCTCACCAAAGAAAAACGTGTTTAACAATTTGCAGCCTCCATGTTGTGTTTGTTTTCGGTCTGCAGGGGTGGAACCTACTGTATAAGGCTATGATTTTTTTTAATGATCAAACAGCAATTTTTTCAAACATTTCCATATTTTTCCCTCAAACTGAGTTATATTTTTATATAGGCTACCTTAAAAAATAAAAAAACATGTATTTCCTTAATCGGAATCAGAATCTGTTTTATTTACCAAGTAGTAGGCTTACACATACGAGGAATTTGCTTTGGTATAAGTAGTGCATGCAGAGACAAAGAAAGAAGAATACGTAAAAAACAATATATATAATTATGAGGGAAACTGAGTGCAGTAAAATATTGTAAAATATGACAATATACTATTTTCAAGTGGAGAGTTATGCTGATTTGAAAAAGAGGTAGCATGGAGCAGAAATGTGCAACATGTTGTGCAGGATTTACAATAAAAATCACAATGTATGTAATGTACTGCACTATATAAATGGATGACATTAAAAAGCTTATTTTATCTTATCTTGTTCTCTTAATATAGTCTATAATGCCGGGAAATGTGCTTTTGGCTTCTCTACAGCAGGTCTTATTTTGAATATTTTGACCGGAAGTTCATTTTTTTAATTTATTTTTCCTTCACAGCTGGCAGGCAGGGTGCAGCGTAGGTGCTATAAAAAATACGCAAACCCCCTTTATATCCTGGGATTATTCACACGTTTCTAAATCTGCTACTAGACAAACACGCATTTTTTTTATTGGCAGCTTCGTTATACACACCCTAAATTATGACAACTTCAGAAACATGAAATATTAGTTTTAAACGTATCCTTCCAGGTTTTAGGCTACTGAATGGGCAACATGAGACCGACGGGAGGTCGTGTCGTCGAGTATTTTTGAGTTCACCCCCCCAGTGACACAGGAAGTGGTTTGCAGCTTTTGTTATGAAGTCCCCTCACAGGCTTTCACCGGCTGACACATAAACAACCACACATTGTGGAAACTTCTCTTAAAAATGCCCTAAAAATCGATAAAAACATGCTGTGTAGAAGAATCTGCAGACTGGTTCCCAACGTGTCAGTGCACATGGCATTACCAAGGTGAGTCATGCAGTATATCTAAGTTAAATACTCACTGTAATATTCAATCACAAACTATGTCATGATGCTTTCTTGACTACATTTGGTCATTTTACCTAATTCTTGTTGCAGATTTAACTCTGATTTCTCCTGCTTTTGTATACGTGGTACTGTAGCGCATGTGATGATCACCATGACTATGCACACCATTGTTGCAACTCATAATGACACAGCAGAGGCATTGACCCACCCATTCCCCTGTTGGAGCACACAGACGCCAGCTTCCTGGTTATGGCAATTTTAATCCAGCTAACCCGGTGTATGCAAGCTTGCGGCTGCTCTGTCCCCAAAAAGCAACTTTTCTCGTCTTTTATTCGTAGACAAGGAGTAAACATCCACCGCAGCATGGCATCAGACACGGCGGGGACGACCCGGTTCGACTTCCTGGTGATAGGTGGCGGGTCCGGAGGTCTGGCCGGGGCTCGCAGGGCGTCGGAGCTCGGAGCTTCCGCCGCCGTGATCGAGAGCCACAAACTCGGAGGTACCTGCGTGAGTAAAAAACAACACTGTTATTCATCCCGACTAGAGTCACTGTCTGTGCTGTCACTCTGCAGCTTTCATACACACACGCTGGTGGCCAGGTTCACTGCGAAGCCTCCCGACTCCTTTTGTGGAAGTGTTTTGTGTGTGCAACAAACATTGTAGCCCTGACATACTAAAGCTAACAGCCACTGTATAAAGCAGCAGAGACAAAGTCTTAACAGTTAAATTAAATTGGGTTGACCCTGGTCACCCCTCATAGGTTACTTCATTAAATAGACTAATGGATTATTTGTACATAGGGGGTTCAATGAGGAAGATGATTCAAATAGTTGTTATTGTTGGAAAACCTTTTTATTGGAAAGCATTTCATATTATAGGCATTGCAATATGTGAAAATTATGACAGTATTATCCTGGTCAAAGGAATTGCAAGTTATGATGTCTCTTTGGCACTACAACATATTGGATCCAATAGAACTAATTCATTTTTGTAAATATCCTTGTTAGTTAAAGATTAACAACCTTAAATTAGGTGTTCATAAGGTCACATAAGGTCACATAAGGTCACATAAGGTCACATAAGGTCACATAAGGTCATAACATATCAATTACTTTTTGTATTTAGTATTTTTAATATTTAATCATTTTTTGTTTACCATGACAGGAAGATAGATAGGTTTTTTAAAGTAATTAATATAAGTATATTCATGGTTATCTCCAATATGGAAATTGACAACCATTAAGTTATTGTGATCTGTTATTAAAACCCTATATTGTCCTATCCCTAATATTACGTATTGTGTTCATCCACTCCTTTTATCTTTTTAGTTTATCCAACAGATATATAGCTAATGAGAAAAATATATCATTGCAGTATGATGTTTCACAACCACTAAAACCACTTCCTGATTGCATAAAGGCAAAAATAGTTAGTCAGATTAAATTCCCAATTTTGCTAATAACTGGGTAAAAAAAACGTATGTTACATAATTGTATTTCTATATAAAAACCGTATAACAAGGGATTAATAAATTCAGCCCAATCAAAATTATGAGTAGCCTCCTTTATAGCTGTTTGTAGCAATAAAGTTTATATTTATTTCATGTTTATTGACTTCCAGTGATATTGTATCATGATAATATTGTTAAACTGTGTTATTTTATAGCTGAAAAAGTTACTTAGGGAAGTGTTAACTCTGGGGAGTAGCCTGCATTAAAGTTTTCCTTGAAACTAAAACACCTATTGCAACATACTGTGCAAATAGAGCTCCAGCCTTTGCAGTGTTTACCTTTTTAAAAGTAGGAAGTTATTTCCTCTAGTTTACATTGAACTAATTTACACTGCTTGAATGTTTTTCAGGTCAATGTTGGCTGTGTCCCCAAGAAGGTACTCCTTTCTTTTCAATGTTGTTGTTATATGCCGAGTTCACCTTAGAAACATGATCATTTTGACTCATTATTCACTAGATGTCTTATGTAGTGCCTTGACCTGTCTTCACAGGTCATGTGGAATGCAGCCGTTCATGCTGAGTATCTCCATGATCACAGTGACTACGGCTTTGAAGTTGAAAATGTCCGTTTCAGTTGGGAGTAAGTTTTCAGTTGGTGTTAGTTTTCGCTTTGTGTAACAACAATGAGCTCGTAGGAAACCTGTCACTGTTGTTCCTGCAACAGAGAGGTGTCCATTTCATTGCACAACTTCTCCGTCTTGTGTTGCTTCACTTTAGCCCACTTCTCTATCTTGGCTAAAAACACAGTTAAGTCAAGGTGAGAGTTAATGATAAGCCTCCGTAAGCCTCATTCAGGCAGTGGTTCTCAAACTGGAGGTTGTGAGATAATTTCTACCAGACAGTTGTGGATAAAAAACTAAAACATTTTTAAATATAAAGTTACACATTTTTGTCGCAATTTCAAATCAGCTGCTGTCTAGAGAAAATTATGAGTAAGGCAAATATGCAAAGAAACACAATATTCATATAAAGTCCTTTTTGGAATGTATGCACACATGACGACTCCTCCTGAGTGCGTCCTGATACAGAATCTCTTATAGGGAAACATCAAAGATCATTTACAGCTCACACAACGACATTTGGGTCCAGGTGGTCGCCCTAAACACTGATCAGATGCCTCCTATACAGGATGCCATAAAAGCCCCCATGCAACTTGTTTATCTTCCTTCCTCCCTCTCTTTCTGCAGTTGTAACACCCTTCATCTTACCCCTGTGAGCACAGACCACATGTTCTTATCATACATAAGCATTTAAAACACTTCCAGGATACCACTTTGTTCAAGTAACATTAAGATAGGATTACACTTTATTAAAGCTTTAAATGAAAATGGCTTTTATACTACATCACCTATACAAATAATGAAATGTGTGCTTAAAGTAATCATGTCAAATTGTAACTTTTTCAAAACTGTCAAATAGAGGCGACTTTACTTTCTGTTGTTGTGTAATATTGTATTTTGTTTGCTTTGTCCATCCTTTGTACGCTGCAGGTGCAGGATCAATTATAATAGACGGTTGTTTTCATAAAATGTAAATTCCATGCAAAAACGATTATCATACTGCTGAACAAGATAATATGATTATAATTTCAGTTTGTGTAGTCCCTCCCAGCATCAACATGACAATAAATATAATAGTATAAAGAAGTCCTTGTACTTAGAAGTGTACACCTGTTAATGCAGGAAATGCTCTAGCTGATGGTTGCCGGATTAAATTCCTGGATAAAGCAGGAAATTCTGGTTAGCAGTTTTCAGTTTGTTTAAGAATACAAAGGAAAGTATGGACAACGTTCAACACTAAATGTTTTATTCTTTAAGTATTTCATCTGATCTGACCACTGAATATACTTTTTTATACTTTTCTAGATTTGTTAACTGCCAGTGTTTGCGTCTGTTCTAATTATAAATGTATGATTTTAAGGGAAGTGAGTAAATATGGGTTGAAAAACAAACAAACAAACATCTTATCTTTGATAATTTCCTGTGTTTGCAGAGCTCTGAAAACCAAAAGGGATGCTTATATTAGTCACCTAAATCGCATTTATCGCAACAATCTTGACAAAGTAAGTTCAGTATTTATATTATCATTATTATTTTCGTGTTTCTGTTTTCTTCCCTATTTATATATTTAGTATTTTTGGCAGTTTAATTTATTTCCCCCCAATTGTTAGACATAATTACAGTTAGAACAATAATGACATATGCTCTACTCCAGGGTAAAATCCTAAACATTCAAGGTCATGCCAGGTTTACAAATGACCCTGAGCCGACGGTGGAGGTGAATGGAAGAAAATACACAGCGCCTCACATCCTCATCGCCACCGGAGGGCAGCCTATCGTGATGACTGATGATGAAGTTCCAGGTAAGACATGCTGTACTTAGATTTTTACTCAGGAAAAGGTAATCATCTTTGTGGATTGAACTCTTGAACATGTGTTTACTGATCATTTCAGGGGGGAGTCTGGGCATTACCAGTGATGGCTTTTTTGATCTTGAAACTCTGCCAAAGTGAGCTTTTTTTATTATCTCTTTGGTTTTTATACAATGTGTAAAATGTGTGCCTATAATAAAACGTTTTGTTTCCCTAACAGGCGCAGTGTCATTGTGGGTGCAGGCTATATTGCAGTGGAGATGGCAGGCATCCTTTCCACCCTGGGGTCCAAAACATCCCTCGTTATTCGACAGACTGGAGTAAGAAACACATAAAATCACAACTAAATATGAAACAACGTTATTCATAGTTATTTAGTTATTAAGTAACCAAAACACATCTCAATTTCTGTCTGTAGGTTTTGAGGAACTTCGACAGCTTCATAAGCGCAAACTGCACCAAAGAACTGCAAAACTCTGGTGTAGATTTGTGGAAAAACTCTCAAGTGAAGTCTGTGCGTAAAACAGAGCAGGGACTGGAAGTGACGATCGTCACCAAAGACCCAGAGAAGAAGAACGACGAGGAGAAGATCAGCACCATCCAGGAAGTGGACTGCCTTCTGTGGGCCATCGGCCGGCAGCCCAACACCAACGGACTGAACATCGACCTGATGGTAACAGTCGTCTTATAATGTTTACAGTGAACTGGATACTGAAATGTGCCGAGCGAATTACAATCAACAATTAAGATGAGTGGGGAAAATAAGGAGATGTTTAATAGACAGCAGACAAAGTAATGCATTATATTTTTCGCATTATTGAGGCATTTAATTTTGCCACTGTGAAGAGTTCAAAACATATACACGGAGTTCTACTTAGTTTTTAATTATTTGCTCTTTTTACGAACTTGTGAGATATCTAAATCCAATTGCACACTATTGATAGAAGGTTTATGATGAGGTTACATAAAAAGAGCCCAAATTAGACCTGGCATGGGATCACCTTTAGATAGATAGATAGATAGTACTTTATTGATCCCAAATTGGGAAATTGTTGTTGTTACAGCAGCATAAAAGGCATTTTACAATAAAACAAAACTACAAAATATACAAGAATAGAAAGAAAAATAAAATATAAAATATACATGTTGAAATAGAAAATATACATGCAGATATTATATATATATATATATATATATATATATATATATATATATATATATATATATATATATATATATTCAAAAGATATGACATCCGGGGGGGATAGAGGGGGGGGGGGGTCTGAGGAAAGATGAGCAGAGGGGGGGGGGTCAGCGGCAATGTGAGCAGAGGGGGGGTGCAGAAGCCAGGCTGGGTGGTGGAGGAGAGGTGTGAAGTGGAGGTGGTGAGCAGAGGGGGGATGCTGACGCCAGGCTGAGAGAAGGAGGTGAGAAGTGGAGGTGGAGGAGACGGCAGCGGGCGGAGAGCTAAACCTGTTGAAGAAGGTGTTCAGCTCGTTGACCCTCTCCAGGGTGCCCACAGTCAGTCTGTCTCTCCCTTTGAAGCCAGTGATAGCCTTCATCCCAGCCCAGACATCCCTGCTATTGTTCTGCTGGAGCTTAGGCTGCTTTTACACGGGAACGTTTGCGTTTATGCACAGTATGCGCTTTCAAAAAAGTCTTCCGTTCCCATGCATTCGTTTAATTTAACGTGTCTGTTCAAACGAGACCGCTGGAAACGCTGTAGTACATATGCCGGGACTGTAAGTGGCGCTGTAACTTCCGCCACAAAATACACCAAAAGCAGCGAAGAAGACCCCGGAGCAGCCCCGCAGCAATGTTGCTATGGCTACCCTTCTGTTTATGCCCCGCGGTGGATTTAGCAACATGTACACATTACACAGGGCGTTGCCCGTACATTTTTGATTGGTCAAGACTAGCTGAAGAGGTACCGCGGTTTAGACTTGGTTCTCTTTGGTTGGTGCGCAGACTCAGATAGAGTCTCTTGGCAACACGATCCTCCAATCAGCATTCGGCCGGCCTGTGGAAGTCCCTCCCTACTCTGGCACCATCATACTAATTTGTTTTCTCTAACGTTTCTTCAGATATAGGGGAAAACCATAATGTTGCTTCCTAGCTTTGCGGGGGAGCACGGCTCCCATACAGAGTCAAGGCCGGTGCGATGTGCTGTTCTGACTACCTCTTTGTGTTCTCTCAGTCTCTGCACTTGACCTTGCTACTTGCAATATTGCAAGCTAAACACTTTCTCATGTAACTTTTCCCTCCGTTCCTGTCCACCCCATCAAAACTTGGGGGGGGGGTGATTGGGTCCATTTATTCCAAAGTCACAGCCACATGAATGAGCACAATAAGCAAATAATGTAATAATAAGACTCAGTCTTTCTAATGTTATATAAAAATAGACTCCACATTCTGAAAGCCAATACTTTGTTTATTTGAAAACAGATGAAAACAAACTGTCACGGACCCTGCCGTGTTATCTATGATCACTATACGCCTTTACTTCATAATTTCAGCGGAGGGAGGGGGAGCGGCGCTGCGGAAGAGCAGGGTGCGAAGTGCACCATTTACCTCTGACTTATGTTTACTGCCAACCTAAAAGTACCTCAAAAATAGTAATCAATAATGTATTGAAAAGTTATTTGGCTGATTGTTTTATATTGGCTCAGCCAGGTTATATGGGATGCCCAGTCTACGTACAGATGGGTCACTCATTTTGAAATATTAAACTTAGTTTTCTTTTCTTTAATTTTTCATCCTCATATAGAATGCTATTATGAAACACACATTTGGTTGTTTATAGCATAAAGAACATCTGATTTAATGTGAGGTAGGGAAATAATCATTTGAGTATAAGTATGTGTATATAAATATGTAATTTACAACAGCTGTAAGATGCTTGAAAAGCTTGAAAATGCACCTTGAAAATGCTTGAAAAGTGCTTGAATTTGACTTTGGAAAAGGTGTAAGAACCTTGATCATAATTTCTGATAATTATAGAACAGTGTTTTCTGTCTGCAGGGGTTGGAGACAGATGAAAGAGGCCATATCGTTGTGGATGAGTTTCAGAACACCAACAGACCAGGGATCTACGCTGTAGGGGACGTTTGTGGGAAAGCTCTTCTCACACCTGGTATGAAGTTGACCTGATAACTCAAATAACGTAATGTTTATTAAAGCTACACAGTCATGTTTCCATTCGAGCTTGGTCGGTATGGGTGTTTAAAGGCTGATGGGCTGAATATCTTGATATTTGTTTTTTGTGATGCCCAAAAGCTATTTTACTTTTGCTAAATTGTCTATGGGTGCATTCACATTATGCATAGTTTGACATTATGTTTTATGTTGGATCAGTTGCCATTGCTGCAGGCAGAAAGCTGGCACACAGACTATTTGAGGGCAAGAAGGACTCAAAGTTGGACTACTCGACTATCCCGACAGTGGTGTTCAGTCACCCACCCATCGGAACGATGGGCCTCACAGAAGGTGAGCAGTAATTTCATAATTAAAATAAGTTTCACATTATTAAATTGCCTGTATGTCCAGTTTTGCTGTCATCCTGTAAGTTATTTAAGATGAAGTTTATGTAAATACTATAAATTAATCAAAGCTTTACTAAGTAGGGCAATAATTCAAATGCTTATTTTTGTTTTTCACAGAGGAAGCTATTAAACTTCGAGGAAAGGAGAACATAAAGGTCTACAAGACTTCTTTCACTCCGATGTATCACGCCATCACGAGCAGGAAGAGTCTGTGCATCATGAAGCTGGTGTGTGAGGGCAAGGAGGAGAAGGTAGGACTCATTATGTTATTTAAAGCGAGTAAAAACATGATCAATGAATGCATCAAAATGTTTAGCATGGGGTGTGTCTAGTCTTTTCTTTGAGAGGATTATCCCTACTGCTCTTTATCGGTTCAAACCACAATTTTTGTATCCACCTTTTTTATGCTGTATAATCCACAGCTGACGTCAAAAGGCTCACACCCAGTCTCTGCAGGTTTTCAAAAGGCATTCTGGTAAATGTAGGAAGTAAGCCAAACAAACTACATAATGAGTACATGAGGGAGGTTTAGGAAAAGGATATTGTTTTGAATTGGGAATGAAAAGGTATGTATCAACAGTAGATGCCACTCAGCAGTGAGTTTGGTGTTTCAAAGGGTTGGGTTTAATTCCCTTATGTCTTAATGTGTCTTTATTTTTTAGTGTTGTACGTAAACACAAACAATTGCAAAGACCGACTTGTGTCTTCTCCCCAGGTGGTGGGCCTGCACATGCAGGGGCTGGGCTGTGATGAGATGCTGCAGGGATTCTCTGTGGCCATCAAGATGGGCGCTACCAAAGCAGACTTTGACAAGACTGTCGCAATTCACCCCACCTCATCTGAGGAGTTTGTCACGATGCGTTAGTGCAAACACAAACTCCCTCCTTGCTTCCCTATACGACCAGCAACCCAGACAATCATACCAGGACGGAGTCGCTCCTCTGTACCACTCTTGCATCAGCTTGACGACTTGCTTTCTAAAACGTTATATTTCCATTTTCACTCATTTAAGTGACCTTATTTGTGCGCAGCGTTTTATCTTTTCTCATTTTTACATGAATGGATTATGGCCTTCTTAAACTGTACTGTGGGTCTTGATTTTTGATTGAATACTCCAGATTCCATTTTGTTCATCGTGATATGGAAGTGATGGATCTACAGGTATTGTTGTCAAGTGATTGCATGGGAAAACAAACAAAAAAAGACCTCTCCTAGTGTATGTGTTTGATTTGTCAAGTCATTTGTCCGATGAATATTGCAACACTGCTGCTCCTTAAGGCACCTACCTACTACCAATGTGAGGTCACAATGTATCTACTGTACTGTTCTAAACAAAGACTGAATAAACACGCAGAGTTTTTTTTCTTAACTGTTGAGATTCCTTTCTCTTCATTCGGTGACTAAGACTTGTTTTATAATTTCAATGCTGTGTTGCCAACACCCTTCCCTACTAGTGCCCTTCCCTGTTTAGGTTTACAATTGACATGGGTTGAGCGATGACAAAGTAAATCTCATATTTGGACACAGGAAGCTTTATTTTTGCTCATACCTCAAGTCATAATGTTCGATAAATTAGCATTTAAAACAACTATATCACTATTTAACCACGAAAAAAGACAGGATAAAATCTGGGTTAGTTGATGGTTTTAAATGTAGTGTGCAATTGTATATCAATTACCTAACTACTAACAAACTAGTTCATGTTGATAAAAAAAAAAAGAAAGTTTAAAAATCAAGAAAAAGCCATTACAATGTTAGACTTATCATTTTAAAAAAATGCTGAATAATGGGCTGGAATAAATTGTTTATTAGGGTGGTCCTTAGTGCCATGTACATTTTCGAATTCATTTATTTTAAGCTCCAACCACCGGAATTCGTTATGATAGTCAAGAAAACTCTCGTGGTGAATTTGATTCAAATTCCAACAACATTTATCTCTCGCTCATCAACCTTGAAGTTTAGCCTCACGTAGGGTGGTCCTTAAAATGTAAAGTCGGAAAGTCTAAGCTCCAAACCCCAGAATTCATTCTATTAGTCAAGAAAACTCTGAATGTTTTCCTCAATCAGACAACATTTACCCCTCCCTCATCGACCTAGGCTGCCACACCAGCAGCCACGGTGCTGCAACTGAGGCTAAACTTCAAGGTTGATGAGGGAGGGGTAAATATTGTCATATTGAGGAAAACATTCAGCAGGAGAGTTTTCTTGACTTAATAGAATGAATTCTGGGGGTTGGAGCTTAGAGGGCAGAGAGCATTTCCGACTTTCAATTTTAAGGACCACCCTAATATTTATAAAGTATCCTAGCATGGGCACTTTTGACTTCTGTTTATGTATTTGCTGAACAGAAGGAAAAATAAATTATATATGGATGTGAAGCTCAGCCAATCATTCAAGGATTTCTACATTTTTAATAATATCACAAGCTCTTTTGTTTTTCGTTTATGTAGCATAAGTGAGAAATCTCTAAATCGACTTTATTCTTGAAATAAAATTGTTAAAGGATACATTTCATTTATGGTTTTAAATATAGGCCTATTTCAATGATAAGGGGGGACCAGGGACATGAACAACAGATGACCTTGTTTGTACAGCGGTTTACAGAATATCGCGATACTTGTAAAGATAACCCTTAAACGGATTACACTCTCACGAGAAGACAACGGGACTTGTGTCGTCACAGGTCACGTGTGTGTGTTTGTAGCACTTACCTTACGTCCATAGCGGCGTATCATCAATTTGACCATACATTCTCAAAATGGATACAGATTATGCAGAACAAACTTCGCAATAAAAAGGTATTGGCTCTAAGTTTGAATGACCTCAGCCTACAATACTTGCTATTAGGTGTCAGTTGTTTCTGAGTAATTGAAATGTTACACGGCACTTGTTACTTATGGTGGCTAACGATGCTAGCTTAGCATGCTAGCTGGTTAGGTTAGCCAAGTATTTGGCTCTGTAGCCACCGGGGTTGGTGGCGCTGCAACTGCGTTCGTGCTAGCCGGCCGGCATAGACAATATTTGATGAGCAAACTTACTATTACTGACCAACAGAAACAAATGCCTGCTGTGTTAATAGTTTAGTTTGTTGGTAGCTATGCTAACGATACTGCTTGATCAGATTGTCAGGTGTTGAAATGTCTCCATGGCGTTAATCTGTCTGAACTGGGTTAAGTTGACATAACGGTGACCGGGCTATTCGCTTCTCTGCACAGCAAGTTCCAGCCCTTCGGTACCGAGCCCCGCTACAGCGAGGATGTTCCCCAGCCTGGCCCACCGACCATGGCATGCCTTCTGCAGGGTCTCCATGCAGCACAGGACGCCCCTGTCCCAACGCTCCCCGAGGCTTCCCCAGCTGTGCCACGGTGAGGACACTTGTACTTTTATATCTATTTAATTGGGAGATTAATATCTACTTTCTTTCAAGAGAGACCTGAGAACAAGTCATATAATTTACAAGAACACATAAGCAATCGTCAGAAGATTAAGCTTTACATCTCCAAGGTTGTCTAAATGTAAAAAGTGCACAGTACCTGAAACCAGCACTTCCAACATAAGTGCGTACATAATCAGAACCATTTATTATTTGCACAGCGGGGACATAGCCGGTAGAAAAGACTGATAATAAGAAACAGTAGCTAACTGATAAGTATTCTTCCAATCCATGGCTAAAAATGAGTAGCAGCATTTAAATAGCTAAGTGAACATTAAGGTTTGAGATTTATTAAAATTATGTTTTGCACATTTAAATGATAATGATTATTGTACAGTAGAATTACCAAAAAAGTGTATATTGCACATTACAAGTTTATTGCACCAGATTTTAACAGTCGGTATTGGGATATCAAATAAGAGGTTAAGCAGTTGCTGGAACTTGTACTGTAGTTGGAGATATTAATGATCGGTGTGATGTAGTTGGGAAGCTCTAACAGTAGGGTGTAAATCACAAGCTTCCTCAAATCCGTAAATTAGTCAACGATATTATATCTGATGATATCCGAAAGTCTGCCATAATGTTGTTTTGAGACTATTCATGGGACTGGTATTTATATGAGAAGATATGATATGCCAATCAACACAGTAACATTTGTATCTACTTACAAAAGCAACTACAATATGACATCACAATTGTATAACTAGGCTTTTACAGACATTGGAAGAATCTCATAATTTGAGGAGTAAAAGTAGATGTCCTATTGTTCACAAGAAAGAGACACTTTAACCATGTTTAAGTGCAAATGTTTTTTAGGTGCACTAGGGTGGACACATACTTGTTATAGGTATTTATAAATAAAGATATATCTTTAAAATCCTATGTAGTGATGTATGCATCCATGATATTGGACAGTTGGTCCTTGAATTAATACAGATTGATGGATTATTTTTTACACCCTTATTAAATAGAAAGCTTTAGAAATAACATATGATTGATATTGCGTCTGGTCTGTATCAGAGTGATATTAGAGGTTAGCTGAAGCATTACGTACATTATGGCTCTTACTACGCTTTCTTTGGAACCATTATTTTGCAGTGCAAGAAAACAAACTGTTGTCATACAATCTGTTTGCAGGTTGGCAGAGCGCAGGCATACACAGCATGTGGTTCAGCCTTCCAGACTGCCGTGTTGCTTCTCTAGGGCTGGGCAAGGTGCAGTACTACTCTACCTCTGGCTCCAGTAAAGATGATCCCCCAAAACCTGCGTCGGGCGATGCGCCGTCAGCAGAACAGGTCCTGTCTGCTGCTTCCATCCCAGTTCCAACAGGTGAATAACTTTAATGTTTCACGATAGTACAGCAGTGTTTAGATGTTTAAAGCCGGTCAATTGTTGGCATGTTGTGCGTCATTGCATTGTGTACACTAGTTTTGAATACTTTCTAGGAAGGCACAAAACTCAGTACTTCTAACTCATTTGGTTTGATACTGATACACTCTGATATTTATCCAAACCTTATTGGAGGAAAGGTTAACCTTGTAATAGAACTAACATGTTATACCCACTGTCATTGAGATCTCCCACTGGCAGATGTAGTATAATATAAAATGCTCCATTTCCCCTGGGAAAATAAGAAAGCAACTTAACTTATGTTACACGTAAAACATGCCATATTTATTTTTGGGTATAATAATACCATTAAAATGCCTTTTATCTGCTGGTACCAATCCCATGCCAATATCCCAGCATCCCTATCCTCTTTTTAAAGTTCTCAAAAGTAGTTTTTAGCGTGCCCTGTCAACCAAAGGACGTAGACGTTTTGTTAATGTTGTTGCCTATAAGAATTTCTCACTGGTTAACCTCTTTGTTTACATTAAAACATTTTGTCTCACAGCTCCAACACCTCAGGGGCTGACGAAAACAGAGACAATTCAGGTGAAAGGTAAGGAACAACATCTGTGCATGTTTGACATTACACAGACCTGCTGCCTTACACTATATTTAGCTTTTATTTGTACTATCTTTGTAATGTGTGCACGGTTATGTGGCTTGGTCAAGATTAAAGGCTAATGCATGCAGATTCAACTCTTCATATGTTCCCTCTGTTGTCACATGCAGTTCGGGCAGTCCTGAAGAAAAGGGAATATGGAGCCAAGTACACAATAAACAACTTCATCACAGCAGTCAGAGCCATGAATGAGTTCTGCCTCAAACCAAGGTACCTCCTGTTCCTTAAACTAACTGCATTTCATTTATGTAGAATACAAAGCAATACTGAACTGTCGCCATGGCACATTTTGAATTATCAGAGTTGAAAAGGGCTAAAAGAGTTTGTCAATTGATCCATGAGATGTTTGACAGAATACAAGGTCAAAACAAATGCTCTCTGATTCCAGCCCCTTCAATTTGATTATTTGCTGCCTTTCTTTATCATTGATTGCCGTACAGTTTATGTTTTTTTCTTTCTTTCTGTCAAACAAAAGATGTAAAGACACCACATTTTGGCTGTACAAAGTTGCAATGCTCATTTTTGATCGCTTAATCTCACAAAAAATCAGAAGATTCTCGATAATTAAAAAAATAATTTGTTTCAGCCCTAGTAATAAATGCTCATCTGTTCAGTTTAACCATGTTCAGTACTAGCTGAGATACTGGCAGACCACAACACACATTCCTTTGTTAATAGTTAAAGGTCCCATGTCATGCTTTTCTGGTTATTACCCGTCCCCTTGTGTAGCTAGGAGCTCTAACAAGCCGTTTAGGACAGAGAGTGAATACACATACTATACAGAGATGCTGTATGAGACACCAATGTGAGTTTGGAACAACATAAATGTATTCTAGTATACCTCAACAATGGAATTATGATCAGTAGAAATGGCCATGACATGGGACCTTTAATAAGTAAGCATGCTGTTGTGGTTAGCTAATTTAAA